CTATTAAGAGATACGTTGCCCAGGCAGCGGATGAACTGTCCTTTGAGGTAAGCAGTTCAAGGCGTTCCTTGTTGTTCAATTTTACAATGGCAAATGCCTTCAGAGCTGCACTGGTGCAAGTGCTCTCATGCTCGGCGATGTTTGGCAGTGCAGAAGAATGCAGTCATTTGAGCTGTGCTTTCCTCCCAGCCGTGCTGAAGTTGGGATTGATGTTGCAATCTCTTGCAGGTGGGAGACATCATCTGTGTCATCGACATGCCACCAAAGGAGCTGACCCCCTGGTGGAGAGGCAAGCTCGGCTTCCAGGTAGGCACAAGCTTCAGACTGGAGAGTGCAACTTCAGTAGAGGCAGGAATCTCAGCTTAGAGCTGCTCTGCCTGCATAGGATGCCTAATGGACATAAACAGTTTCCCTGTGTCGGTGTCAGAGGACCTTGTCTTTGGCTGCAAATGTTGAAAAATTATTACCTTTATGCTGTGAACTATGGCCATTTTCTGCTGGATAGTCTTATGGAACGTCAGGCAAGCACGTTCCGAGGGAAATGTTACGTGGCTTTATGTTTAACAGTTCAGATCTGAGAAGTGCTGCATGCAATAGTTGGCCTCTCTTCTTGTTACAGGTTGGATTTTTCCCAGGGGAGTGTGTGGAACTGATTAATAAGAACATTCCTGAGGCACTCATCAACTCTGTGCCAAAGCCAGGTATGGATGTTACATTTGATGGTGTGGGGAAGCAAAATCAAGTCTTTTTTGGGGTGTGTTCCGTTTTTACTACCTCCTTTATCCATGCCACATTGTCCTCTGGGTTGATGATCCTTCACGCACACCATGGGGCAGAGATTTGGCCCAATCCTCCTGTGTTTATGATTGGACTTGGGGAAACTATAGAATCTTCATAGAATGGCTTGGGATGGAATGGATTTCAGAGATCATCATGCTCCAACCCTCCTGCCTCAGGATGGTCTCCCAGCCCCCACATTTGATGTGAGACTAGATCAGGCTGCCCAGGGCCCCATCC